GATAGATGGGAATTACACTGGCAGAACCATGGTTGGGGAGGAATTGGAGAAGGGAGAACATTTTATGTGGAAGGAAAAGGCTATGCAAAGGCATGGAACTAATTTTCTTAATTAATTAACTGAATTGTAATTTATGGAATAGAAAAAGCATTTCCATAACATAGTATAATAAGAAAGATAATTGCACATGAAGCTTCAAATCTATTATGTACAACTTGCTATTCCTTTTAAATATATAATAAAGTTATCATGTAGACTTTTTCCCTTTTTTTCCTTCCCTTCCCTCTCTCCCCCCATCCTAGAGATGGCTACCATTAGACACAAATAGGTGTACATGTATATACATATATATATATATGTTATATATACAAATATATATGTAAAATTATTCTATTCATACTTCTTTGGTTCTTTCTTTGGGTATAGATAGCAACTTTCTTCATAGGTCCTGTATAGTTAATTTGGGTATTTATAATAGTCAAAATGACTTAGTTGCTCTAAGCTGTTCTTAAAATAATATTGCTGTTACTTTATACAATGTTCTCTTGGTTCTTCTCATTTTACTCTTCACTGTTTCGTGTGAGTCTTTCTGTGTTTTCTAAGATCATTGAGATTACCATTTTTTTTTTTGCTTTTTTGCTGAGGCAATTGGGGTTAAGTGACTTGCCCAGGGTCACACAGCTAGTAAATGTCAAGTGTCTGAGGCTGGATTTGAGCTCAGGTCCTCCTGACTCCAAGGCCAAAGCTCTATCCACTGTGCCACCTAGCTGCCCCCAACATCACCATTTCTTTTTTTTTTTAATGTTGGGTTTTTTGTTTTGTTTTGTTTTTTTGGTGAGGCAATCAGGGTTAAGCGACTTGCCCAGGGTTACACAGTTAGTAAGTGTCATGTGTCTGAGACTGGATTTGAACTCAGGTCCTTCTGACTCCATGGCCAGAGCTCTATCCACTGTGCCACCTAGCTGCCCCCAAGATCACCATTTCTTATAGCACAGTAGTGTTGTATCACAATCACATATCACAACTTGTTTAGCCATTCCCCAATCAATGAGCATCCCTGCAATTTCCAGTTCTTCGGCACCACAAAGAGAGCTACTGTAAACATTTTAGAATTAAATGTTTAGAATTAAAACATTTTATTATTAAAATTATTAAAATTAAATTAAATTAAATAATAAAAATATTCATTTATTAAATAATTTAATAAATTAAATAATAAATTAAATAATTAAAAATTAAAATTATTAAAACATAATTTTAGAATTAAAACATTTAGAAAAACAATAAGAATTCAGAGAACATGAGCCTTCATTTTTTCAAGGTATACCAGGTAGTCCAATATTACTGAGTATAGAGTTCAGGAAATAGAGCCTAGGGAAATAAGAAAAGTCACAGTGGGGCAAAATTATGGAGAATATCAGATATTAAAGAGTTTGGATATCATTACAAAAATAATAAGGAAACATTGAATATTTTTCCTCCAATGGGGTTATATGACCAAAGCAGCTTCATTTTAGAAAAATTATCCTGGCAGAGGTGTGCAGGATGGATGAGAGGCAGAGATGCCTAAGGCAGTAAAACAGATAATAATGATAATAATTTTATCTCCTCCTTTTTGCCTACACTCAGGATAAAATGTGCCCTTTCCCTTTTCCAAGAGTATCCCCTACATTTGTACCTTTTTTTGAATACCCTTCAGTTAATTGCTTTACATTTGGTTCTCCTGGTTCTCTCCTATTTCTCTGGCTACTTCATGGCCTCTTTAACTGCTTCTTCTTCTTCCTCAAAACCCCTCATTGTTAGTGAGCTAGGCAAAAAAATAATGAGGAAATGACTTGATTAATAGCAGTGTGAATGGATAGAAAGGTATAAATGTAGAAGAAATTTCATGGTATAATTAGTAAGACCAATGAGAGAGGTGTCTAATATAAGAACAAAGTTTTAAACATATCATTAAGTGTATCATTTCAAAAATAATAATAACAGTAATCATCATTTACATAGTGCTTTGAAGTTTGCAAAGCACTTTACAAATACTATTTCATTTGATCTTCAAAACAATCCTGGAAGGTAGGTTCTATTATTATCCTCATTTTAGAGATGAGGAAACTGAAGCAAATAGAGGTTAAGTGACTTACCCAGGGCAAGAGGTATGGCAAGAAAGTAAAGACAGAATTTGTATTGGATCAAATAAGAGAATTCAGATTTCTTTTTCTTCTTGGAATAAATTATTTCTCCTAAGAGTCATTCATAGGCATTTATAAAAAAAGACAGACCTTATGCTAATTTTCATTATTATTTTAAAAAATAATGCAACCGTAATAAAATAAAATAACAATACTTCGAATTTCAATAATGACTTGTAGGGGGTGTCTTAAAAGTCTTAGTTCAGTTTTAAGCTACTAACACTTAAAACTACACCAAGAATTTTGGGACACACCATATTTGTTCATACATACTTTATCCCATTTGATCCTAACAAGAACCTTGGGAAGAAGAACAGACAGAAAGTACTTAAATGCTTTCCCCAAAGTAACACAGCTAGTTGATTGTAGAGCTGGAATTAGAACCCATGCTTTGACCCAGAGAATTATTCTTTTTTGAGCAGTACTGAACAAGCAAACAAAAAAAATTCTTTCTAAATATCCCAATTTTGGCAAGGTAGAAAGGAGAATTGCTCCCAAGGTACTGATCTTTCTGTATAGCTGTGCAAATATGTTCATGCCAGTATCCTCAAGTTCTCCAAAAATTGAGCTTAACTGCAAATAAATTAGGACTCCAACAACTCCTTTACTCACTCTTCCTGTGAAAGACCCATGACCTTGTTCATCAGGTCATGGGACTTACTGCCACAGGAAATATCATGACTGATGTGAGGTGGGTGGGATGAATGGGTAGATTTCTCAGACTTGTTCTCAAAGTTGGGCTCAGATAAAACAATGAACATGAATGCTTGAAGTTTAAAAAGTTTTTAAAATAAATGTTAGTGATACTTATGTCACCTAAGTCCCCCCATTTTTCTCTAGCTCCCTGTCTAGAAAGTGATCTCATATAAGAATTTTTTTAAAGAAAAGGAAAAAAATCAGCAAAACCAGTACACATTGAAAAAAATCTGATGATATATTCAATGTCCAATACTCATGGACCATCTATACAAAAGAGTGGGAAGAAGTTTCTTATATTTCTTTAGTACCAAGCTTTTTATTTGTAGTTTTACAACATCCTTTTTTATTGTTTTGCAGTCATTCTTTCCACTTACATTTTTGTAGTAATTGTGTATTTTGTTTTCTTGACTCTGCTTACTTCACTTTGTACTAATTCACGTGAGTTTTTCCATGTTTCTCTGCATTCATTATATTGTCATTTCTTGTAACACCAGAATTTTCACTTACATTCATATGCCACAGTTTATTTATTCAATCCCTAATCAATGGGAATATACTTTATTTCTGGTTCTTTACTAACACAAACAGTGCTGCTATAAATATGGTTCCCCCCCCCCCTCAATTTACCCTCTTGGAGTACCAGCCTAACAACTTTTAGCCACTTTATTTGCATAATTCTCAATTGCTTTCCAGAATAGTTATATTAGTGAATATTTACATCAAAAATATGTTACTGTGTTTGTTCCACAATTCCTCTAAAATGAAATCTCATAAGCCTGGGGAAAACCTCAGGATTGTTGATTATTGCTTCTTTTATTATTAGTGTTTCAGAGTATCTTTTCATATAGTTGTTAGTATGAGATTCTTTAAGAACTGCTTGCTCACATCCTTTTACTACTTTTCTATTGGGTCTTAATTATTTCTCTTAGCCATCTCCATATCTTGGATATCAAGCCCTTATCTGAAAAATCAGATATAAAGATTTGCTCCTAGTCAACTACTTTTCTTCTTATTCTATATACATTAATTTTGTTTGTGTTAAATCTTTTCAGTTTTATTCAAATTCAAAATTACTTATTTTATATTTTATAATTACTTCTATCCTTTGGCTAAAAATACATGTCCTACCCATAACTGTGAAAGGTATATGATCTGCTTCTCTTATAATTTTTTAAAATGATACAATCTTTAATATTCAGGTCATCTATCCATTTTGAATTTATTTTATAACATGGTGTAAATGTCAATCTGAGACTAATTTCTACCAGGCTGATTTTCAGTTTTCCCAGAAACTCATATCAGATATGAATTCTTTCCTTATTAATTTATGTTTTAGTGTTTATTGAACACAAGGTTAGATGTTTAAGACTTAAGCAGTTAGAAATCACATGGTTATGTGTCACCTATGGTACCTCATGTCTCTGTGAAACATAACAGAGAATAGAGGATCAAGGAAGTGGTTATATTTCCAAACCAGCCAGAGAATTAAGGTTGTTTGAATTTTTGTGGTCATAGCTCTCTAGATACTATTCAACACTGCCTTTCCATTATTGTTAGAAGCTTAGAAAAATCCCTTCAGTTATTACTTGGGTTCCTTGCTTCCTGTGACATCCAGAATGGTTGGTGAGGAAAAACAAAGCATATACTGAAATTGCCATTCACAAGGAAGAAAAAAGATACATATGTACATATAGTCCCTGCATACGTCTATATGTGTATATGTCTTAGCAAATCACAGAATCACAGACCATTGAAGTTAGAACATATAGAGTCTCCAAGTCTATTTAATCTAATCCATTCTCAAACAGGAATCCCCTCCACGATAAATCAAAGAACCACTCTGCCAAGCAGGAAGACCTGGGTTCAAGATTCATCTCTGACACATACTCTTTGTATGATCTGTTCAGACCACTTAACCAGGCAACTCTTTAAGACTAAATTTCATAAAAGATGCTAACCTGTATTAGTGGAGGAAACTTCCTCACCTGGGAAATTCTTTAAGGAGTGAAATCACAGGTCCAATCCCTATTCTGATTTAACAATAAATGATAACAAAAATAGACATTTTTGCAGAACTTTATTTAAGATTTACAAAATAATTTCTATACACGCACATTTGATTCTATTAGCATCACTATTTCAGGCAAACAATGGGACCTAGATTTGGGGTGAGAGAGAAGACATTTTGGGCCATATTACATTTAATTCACAGTTTGGATTATTTAATCAGAATATGCAAATACAGCAATTAAAGCCACATTCTAAAAGCATATCTAGGCAAATTTTGTTCCATTGTCAGTTTAATTTGCTTCTTACCCTGCTGAGGTCCTAGGATAAGTCAAAAGAAAAATCTTTTTTTTTTTTTTTTTTAGTTTTCAAATACTGATGAATCATGAGTTCCAATACTGCCTCAACCTTCACTTTTATAATACTTCTGTGGTTTCCATAGAAGATGGTGTGGGGTGGGAAGATTTGTCCTGCTGCTAAATCAGAGGTGGAAAGTTCTTTCTTTTTATTTTTTTCCCAAAAGAAAGTCATCGAACCACAAAAAGTGGGAAAAACTGATGCAGGCAGGAAATATGTTGCCAGGGAGCTGGGGGAAAGAAGATATTAGAGTGAAATCACTGTGACTCACCAGTGTCAATGAAAGGAACTCATTTGAACATAAGAAGAATAGAGGCCAGAGTTCTATGGTTATCAGTCAATATGTTTCTCATGGTCATGTGCACTGTAATCTGAAGGCTAAGACCAGTACCATTTTACAGGGATGGGGTGCTGGTTTTCTCTTAAAACTCAACAACAACAAACCTATCGTACAAGAGAAAGCCTTCAGAATAGACACAACTTAGTTTTATCCATCATAACAGTTGCGCCAAGACAGGGAGCTTTGAAATACTTCTTTCTGGTATTCTGCGATGAGTTCACATTGGAATAGTTTCCTCTGGAAAAAAGGGCTAGCAACCCCACCTGATGGAGCTACAGACACTGCATTCACTTCATTAGATTTGTCAGCCTGTCAATAAACATTTATTAAATAATCCCACTATGTGCCAGACACTGTGCTAAGTGCTAGGGATACAAAAAGAGATAAAAGACAATCACTGCCCTCAAGGAACTCACAAGCTAATGGAGGAGATTGTGGAAGCTATCACTTAACTTGGCTCTTCAAGAGTTATGGTCACAATCTGCTGGGACCTGTGAAGAACTGTAGGACAGAAGACAAGCCGTAACTCATGAAAACTGTGGAAATCTGTAGCAGATGCTCCACATCAAAGAACCCCAAGAGGCAAAACTTACTGTATGTCCTAATTAGTGTATTATAAGTGAATGAAGCTATACAGATCTCAGGAAAAGGGTAGTTAACTGATACATGTCAATATTTTCCATGATCTGTCATAAAAGTGCCATTTTTGTTCTTTGCAATATACATTAGCATCTTTCTTTGGCAACTGTATGCTTGTAAGGGAAATTGGAGATAATACATTATATGGTGGGTGTTATACACTGAAGTTCCCCAGTTTTGTTGTTTTCTTTTTTTTTTTTTTGGTTTGTTTTTTATTGGTGGCAATTTGCTAGGCACGTGAGAAATCCCCCCAAATATATCCAGGACTGTATTGTAATGTGTCATACAGATACTTAATACATATTCCTCTTTCATTCATCCATCCATTCAGTCACACACACAATTATAGAATCACAGTGCCAACATGATTTTTCTATGGTGTGCAATTGAACATGTTCAACACCCTGACCTCTCACCCCTCCATTGCCTGTACACAAACATACCCAATGAACTCCAGTCATTGCCTGTTATGTCCAGGATCCAGTATAAAGTCCTCTATTTGGCATTTAAAATTTTAAATTTCACAACCTGGCCTCTTCCAACCTTTTTGGTTTTTTTTTTTAAACACCTGACTCCTCTCTACCCACTCTCTGATCCAGTTACTCTGACTTTCTTGCAGTTCCTCAAACATGGCACTCCATCTCCCATGTCTGTACCACTACACTGTTTCTGCCCATGCCAGGAGTGCTCTGCCCCTGAACCTCCACCTCTTAGTTTCTCTGGCTTCCTTCTGGTCTCAACTCAAATCTCATCTTTTTCAGGAAACTATTCCTTCCTCACCACCTCCCAGCCTTGCTAGAGCCCTCCCTCTGCAATCTCTCCTTGAGGTAATCTTACATTTACACTATCTTGTGGGCAGCTAGGTGGCACAGTGTATAGAGTGCCACCCCTGGAGTTAGGAGGACCTGAGTTCAAGTCCAGCCTCAGATATTTACTAGCTGTGTGACCCTGGACAAGTCTCTTAACTCTGCCTCAGTTTCCTCATCTGTAAAATGAGCTAGAGAAGACAATGGCAGGCCACTCCAGTATCTCTGTCAAGAAAATCCCAAATGGGATCACAGAGAGTTGAACACAACAGAAATGACTCAACAGCAACAACACTATCTTATCTGTTCCAGGTTATTTACCTATTGTCTCCACCTTTTAAATGTAAATTCTTTGAGAGCAGGGACTTTTCTTTCCCCTTTTCTCCATATCTCCCAGTGCTTAGCATAGTACCTGGCACATAGTAATGATTTAAAAAAATACTGACTGACATTTTCTGAGCCTTTGTTTTTTCATCTGTAAAATAATGTTAATTCTTTTACTTACCCGCTTCACAGAGTTTTCTTCAGGAAAGTGCTTTGTAACCTCTAAAGGCCTATAGAAAAGCAAAGAATTTGTTGAATTCAATAACTTTGACAAGCATACATTAAGTACTTAATGCAGTGGATAGAGCACTGGGCCTGAAATCAGGAAGACCCAGGTTCAAATCTGGCCTCAGACACTTAACTAGCTATGTGACCCCGGGCAAGTCACTTAACCCAGTTTACCTCAGTTTCCTCTAAAATGAGCTGGAGAAGGAAATGGCAAACCATTACAGTATCTTTGCCAAGAAAACTCCAAAATGGGGTCACAAAGAGTCAAAGACAACTGAAACAACTGAGCAGAATACATCCAGAGCATTGATAGGCTCTGAGTAAGATACAAAATTTAGATGAGATAGAATTACTTCTCTTGTGATTCTTCCAGTCTCTTAATGGGATAGTACATATAAAGAAATTGATTAGAGGCAGTGAGATAGCTCAGTGGATACAGTGCTGGCCTTGGTGTCAGAAAGGCTTGGGTTCAAATCCTGCCTCACATACTTAATAATTATGTTACTCAGAGTAAGTTATATCACTTCTCCTAGCCTCCCAGTTTCCATATCTGTAAAATGGGGATAATAATAGCACCTGGCTCATAGGATTATTTTGAGGATTAAAAGAAATCATGTATGTGAAGTGCTTGGCAAAACACAAAGGTCCATGTAAATGTTAGTTGTTATTATTATTAATACCTGAAAAGTTCAAGTGAGAGCTGCAAAAAGCTAGTAAAATTTGAGAATAATAGAAGTTCGCATTTCTAGCATGTTTTTCATTTGGCATTAACTATGGAGTAGTTAAAGCAAGTATTATTACCCTCTTTTTATAGAAGAGGAAACTGAGGTGTAGAGGGGTTAAATAATTTGCCCACAGTCACATAGCTAGTAAGTGCTAAAGTTCAATCTCTAACCCCCAGGTCCAGTATTCCTTTCAATCTCTAATGTTACTTCTTTTGGTTTATATTTATTCCTTTTCAAACAGAAAATAAAATTCCTATTAAAGCAACTTCACCTTGAACCATGTCTGTATGTCTCAGAGCATTGACTCCAGCTACAGGGATCCTCCGGCATGCAATATAGTCTGGGTATGAGCCTACGACAGCCTTTCAATTTTCATTCCTCCCTGTGGTCTCACACCTCATTTTAAAATAGAAAAATTCCTTCCCTTCCCAAGGGAGTAAACTTTCTTTAAAGTATTATTTTTCCATAATTTTAGATTTGGGGGAAAATATTGGATTCATGAGCATGCAGAAGAGATTGGCCTAATAAGCTATACAGGGGAAAAAACAAACAAATAAACAATGGGTGAAAATGTCTCTCCCTCATGCCAGAACTTACAGTTTGATGGCTAGTCAATTGAGTTAATATATCAGTGCAAATGTCTGGGAGAGGCATGACAGGCGGATGATGAGTTGGGGCCAGAACTGAATTAGAGGAAAAGAATAGGATGTATTGCATTTGGGAAACTGAGCAGTGCTTTCAACAATTTCAAACTGTTTTCCAGCATTCAAACTCACTGCCTTTATGAAAGATGATATATGTATTTTTTTTACATTGCCTTGATTTCCCATCCCATCCTACCTCCCCCCACCATCACAGAAACTTGAAGAGTAGCATTTTACAAAAATAATTTCAAAAGAGAATTTTAAAAAGTGGTTTATTAAAACTAACCATCATATCAACCAAATCCAGGGATATTTTCATAGTTCCACTATTAGGATAGTTCAGGAATTTAAATGTCAAACATAGGAATTTGTGTTTGATCCAAAAGATAATAGGAAGCCATAGGAGTTTATTGACCAGGGGAAGGACTTGCAGGGCAAGAACCCCTGGTCTAAACAAATCACTTCCTGATCCCCTCAACTAATAGCACCCTCTCTCCCCAACTACCTTCTATTTATTTGATATATATCTGGTATATACTTAATCTTTATATTCATACATACATGTTGTCTTGATCCATAGAATGCCAGCTTTTTTGAAGATAAAGATTTCTTCTTATCTCCTCCTTTTCTTTCTTTCTCTCTTTCTTTCTTTCTTTCTTTCTTTCTTTCTTTCTTTCTTTCTTTCTTTCTTTCTTTCTTGCTACTTCTTCTTCATCTTCTTCTTCTCCTCCTCCTCCTCCTTCCACTTCTTCTTCTTCTTCCTTTACATCTACTGAACTGAGCACAATGCCTAGCACACAATAGACACTTGATAAATACTTAATAATTGATGGATAAATTGATATTCCTAGGAGATAAGACACTTTGTGTCACATCCAGAGTTAATACACTAAGGAAATCACAAGTTCTTGGAATAAATATGTATTGCATGACTAAAATATGTGTAAAATTATACATATATGCACATGTACCTATATCTGAGTATATATACATATGTGTATGAATATCTGTGTGTATAGACATATCTGTATCTTTGTACATATGTGTAAATATATACATACATAGATAGAGGTGTGTATATATATACACACTATGTAGAATCATAATTTTACTTGTTCATACCCCATTTACATATTAGTAAATATTATGTGGAGGAAAAGGTATTTAAATGAGAGTCAGGAGATGTATATTCTAGTCCTGCCTCCACCATGATTTTCACTTGGGCAAATCACTTGGCCAATATGAACTTCAGTTTCCTTGTCTAACATGATGGAGTTGGATCCTTGAGGTCTCTTTCTGCTCTCACATCTCAAGAGTACAAAGTATCAGTGAAGGCAGATGCTAGAGAAAAGAGAAGCATTGATCTGGTGAGAGTCCACCAGGATTTGTTGCCAAACAACTTGATTTAGAAGCCAAGGGACTAAATAATGAGACTCAATAGTGATTTACATTTCTATCTCCTTTCTTTGTAGCAAGCCCAAAGAACATGATTCCTAGTCCTGGTAAATGTCACTTTTGAGAATCACAAGTTGAGCATGCCTCTACCTTTAGGCCTGAGCCCCTCCTGCTAGGTTTGTGCATAGACTGCAGGTGTTGGGTGAACGCTGTGGCCCAACAGCACAGAGGTAGGTGCCTGAGTCTCCAGGTTGAGAAGTTAGGATGTACAAGTCACTATGCTCCTTCTCTAAGATGGCTCTAAATCTTCCTTCCCATTTTGCTTTTGAATACACGGTCAGGAGAATCCTGGGGCCTTTCCCAGGATACTGTCTGTACCACTGTAAATTTTTAAAATTGCTTACTGTGTAACTACAGGTCATAGTGATGTTCTCTCCCATCTGGACACTCAGAGATGGAGGACTCTGCTCTATTTTGTCTTGACTGCTCACCCCTGTTTAGAAACACAGTATTAAATACAGTAAATTAGCATTTGTTCTGCATTTCCATACTTTCTTTCATCTAAACCTCCCCAAGTAAAACCAAGACAAGCCAGGCTACACTCATTTCTTCTTATTTGCCTTCTGGGGCATGTCCCTAAGGATTTTGCTATCTACTTCATTTAATGACCCTCCCAACACCCATTCTCAACTCACAGTCCAGGTGAAGACAGAAAACCACTGATAAGGCTCCCAGGGCCTTCTCCATTCTGAGGATTCTGAGGATTGGTTGTAGTATTCTATCTAAGGATGCACAAGAATAGTGAGCTGCTTCTCCTTCTTAATTTTTCTAATGCAAGAAGACTGAGAATCTTTTAGTTTAGCTGCCAATCAGAGGCAAGCCCTTCTCCACTCAAATATAACCATCTCCCCTGCCTAGTAAGCCATTCATACTCCATAAGAATAGAAACATTGCCCCCTCGAGGCCACATTCACAATTGTGATGAATTATTGCCAGCGTCTATACCTTTTAGATTATGTGATCCATGTGACGTGCACAGTTGGGAACCATAGTAGGATTATACCAAAATAGAACTCGAAAGAACCTTAGATATCACTAGGGAGAAGGTCATATGATAAATAAGAGTATATCCAGAATCCAAACCCATATGTTCTGGAACTAAATCCAGGGATTCTTTTTCTGTACTATGGTGACTGAATGACTTTCCTCTTACTCTCAGATGGATTTATGTGTTCACAGTGTTGTCCTATATTTAAAACATAATGTAGTTAAGAACACTTTTCCTTGACTATAGCCTTAATTTTTCTGGAAAGTAGGGAGGCAATATGATATGAAGACTAGTCCTCAGTTAGGGTTAGGTTTCTATTTCCAGGCCTGTCACTCACTCACAGGTCATGCTGTGCATACCCATAAGGGCTGAACTTGGCCAATCCCCTGTTAAAAGTCCATAATTGACTTTTTATTACACTTCCCATTTCATTTGTTGCAAACTTTCTCTTCTCTCTTCATGCCTTCTCTATGTCCCCATTCCCTTCCTCTCAGCAGATGGCATTATTGTCACCTGTGGTTTTGTGTTGTGATTTGTCCTTCGTTCTCGAAGAGGACTATGGCATCAGGAAGATGATGCCATGACTTGCAAGTGAATTGGATTTAAGTTAGGGAGGGCTGTGCAAAGTCACCAGCCTCACTTTCTCCTCCAAAGTCATCTGGGTCCAGTGGCTAGATATAGATATAGATCAGGATGACTGGAAATGGCTCCCTTTTCATCTAATTTTCAGAGGAAAAAAGGACATTTGTCTTAAGGATCCCTATCTCATGTCTCAAAACCCCTTGGCATTATTGAACTTTCTCTACTCTTTTGATGTACTCTCAGGTGAAAAGGCTGCCCTTCTGCTTGTTAAGATCAAACTTTCATCTTGTGTCCTTTATTACATCTCCTTCTATCTCCTCCATCGCCTTCTCACTCCCTATTCTTTTGTCTTTCCCTTTTCTATTGGCTTTCTCCTTGCTACCCATATATGCTTGCTACTCATTTCACTTGATCCTGACATCCCTTCAAGTTATTTTCCTATTACCTTTCCTACCCTTCATAATCAAACTCTAATGTGGAAAAACAGCCATTTACACTCTTTGACCCCACTGCCTCACATCCCACTCAGTTCTCAATCCATAGTTATCAGGTTTCCAATACCACTACTTTATTTTAAAGCTTATCCCTTCAAAGTTTCCAATTTATTGATAAAGCTGATAAACTGTTCTGTTTTCTTCCTTCTTGACATCTTTTCAGTATCTGACATTTTTTACCCATGTCCACCTTAGATACTCTCTCCTCACTGGGTTTTCATGCCACTGTTTCCTCTTGGTTCTCTTCTTACCTGTGTGATTATTGCTCAGTCTCCTTTGTGAGATCATCATCTAGATCCTTGAACCCACCATGAGTGACCCCTAAGGCTCTTTTTCTAGGCCCTTTTGTCTTTCAACACCTCTTGTGATGATATAATTAATTCCCATGAGTTCAATGATCATTTCTCTGGATATGACTCCCATATCTATCAATGCAGCCTTAATATCTCTTCTGAGAGATTTGTTGGATACTACAAATGGAAGTACTATAGGCATTTCAAACTCACCATATCCAAAATGTATCTTATTATCTTCCTCTGAAATCCATATATCCTCCAAATTTTCCTACTTCTATGGAGGATGCCACAATCCCACCAGACATAGAGCTTTGCATCCTAGCATCACCCCAGATTTTTTACACTCCCTCACTGCTCCCCTTCCAGTCAGTTTCCAAGTCTTACAAACAACACTTGCATTTAGTCCCTTCTCTCCACTCATACAGTAGCCACTATCATTCAAGGCCTCATCACTTCTCACCTTGCCTATTACTACAGCTTAATTGTACTCCAAACTCCAATCTTAATCTTCCATTAATGTTCTTCATAGTTGTCAAAATAATCTTCCTTAAGTACAAATCTGACCATTTCCTTTCCCTGACCAAGAGTTTTTAATGTTTCCATATCATTTCTTGAATAAAATGCGCAGTCCTCAGGATGGCATTTAAAATCAAAATCTGGCTCCAACCTTTCTTTCTGATTATTTCACAATCTCTTCCCACTTACACTCTTAGTTCAGCCAACATTGGCTATTTCTTATTCCTAAAACTGCATTCCATCTCCTATCTCTATATTTTTATATAGGCTATTTCCCATGCCTGGAATATACTCCCTTTTCACCTCCACTTTATAAAATCCCTATCTTCTTTCAAGGCTGTTCCAGTGTGACACCTTTTACAAGAAGGCTTTCTTGTTAGTACTCTCATCCTACTCAAATATTCATATATATTTTTATATATTATATGTACATATTTCTATATTACTCACCTAAAATAATGTAAGCTACTTAAATGCAGGAATGTTTGTTTTATACTTGTATCCCTAGTGCGTTGCACATAGTAGGTGCTTAACAAATGCTTGTTGTATTGGATTGAATCAAATTGACTGAGATTAGATAGAAGATCCCACAATCCTAGAAGAAGTGCTAAAACAAAGTCACTTCAGACAGGAATCTAGAGCATCTTTACTTAACACTTGGACAAGGCTAGCCTAAGGAAAAGAAAACGAAGATTGGGATGACTCATAGGTCAAACTGGAGAACTAACCAGTGGTTATTATTGAGTAAAGTTTGGATTGGAAATTTACATTGTAAACTTCTGTTTTGTGGTTTTGTTCTGTGTTTTCCTTTGAACTTAGAAAACATATGGGTGATTTTTAAAAGTAACATTTATATAGAATCTAAATTGCAGAATCAAGAAGTAAAGGAATTTCTTCCTAGTTTAGTTAGGGTAAACACAGTGATCTCTGTGTTTCCAAGACCCAGCTGGTAGTGGTGGCATTGAGAAGACCCAGAGAATATCAGTGGAGCTGTGGCAGGTAACAAGTAACAAGGATGGAGGTTGTGATGTTCGGCCTAGTCATGGACCCCTTATCAGCTATGTGAGCCCCAACTCATCTATATAGCCAGAATTTCCTGCATATGCAATTATACACTAACTCCTCATATCTTTCTATTAATGTATTTATGAGGAAGTGCAGAGAAGGCAGCATGGCATGGTAAATAGAGAATTGATCTCACAGCCTGACAGACCTAGGTTTAAGTTTCACCTTTGATATACTGTCACTGTAACATTAGTGTGGGAAACCCATATACAGTAAAATAAATTATATATACACATACATACAGTTATATATGTAATATACATTATATAAGATTTATATAATATATAGCATTATTTATAGATGATATGTAAAATGTTATGGAGACATCTCCACTCTGAGGCTTTCTCTCTTGATTGGAGAGAGATAAGATATATAATATCTCATATACCGTAAATATTATCTATAAATAAGTCCCTTGCCTGCTACTATTCCTGAGTGACCCCAGTCATATTCACTTCTCTTCTAGCTCAACTCGCTGTCTGTATTTCCATGTGTACTCTGAAATTATAAGCACAGTCTAAAGGAATCAATATATGATCAGAAATCTTAAAAAAAAAAAAACTTTTGTCAACAGCTTCATGGACATACAGTTAAGAAGACAAGTAAAGCCTAAGGTTCTCTTCCAATCCATCCTGTTGCTGAAGATAACATAAACAAACTGCATTTATTTCAAATAATATCGCAGACTAGATTGAGCCTTGTTTAATGGTTTTGAAATAAATTGTAAATATGTTAGGATATTTGTTTAAATTACAAATATATTAGGATGTGGAATTATTTATAATTATAATTTATCATTGTAAATCTGCATTAGGATGTGGAATTATTTATAGAGCTAGCTTAGTAACTCAGCCATTTCAAGGAAAAAATAAACTCAGATAGCCAGTCTTAGCCTACCTGATTTACAAGATGATAAGAAGATTGCCAAAACAAACCCAGGAATTATATGAACACAGCTACAAAACACTTTTCACACAAATAAAGTTAGATCTAAATAATTAGAAAAACATCACTTGCTCATGGGTAGGCCAAGCTAATATAATAAAAATGACAATTCTACCTAAATTAATTTATCTATTCAGTGTCATACCAAGCTACCAAAAATTATTCTATAGAGCTAGAAAAAATAACTACAAAATTCATCTGGAAAAACAAAAGGTCCAGAATATCAAGGGAATTAATGGAAAGAAATGCAAGGAAAGTTGGTCTAGCCATACCAAATCTTAAATTGTATTATAAAGAAGCAATCATCAAAGCTACTTGGTACTGGCTAAGAAAGAGTGGTGGATCAATGGAATAGGCTAGGTACGCAAGACACAATAGTCAATGACTATAGTATTGTACTGAATCCAAAGACTCCAGCTTCTGGGATAAGAACTCACTATTTAACAAAAACTGCTGGGAAAACTGAAAAATAGTATGGCAGAAACTAGGCATAGACCAACATCTTACACCCTCTACCAAGATAAAATCAAAATGGGTACATGATTTAGATATAAAGGTTGATACTATAAGCAAACTAGGAGAGCAAGGAATAGTTTACCTGTCAGTTCTATGTAGAAGGGGAGAATTTGTGTCCAAACAAGAGAGAGAGAATATTATGAAAAGCAAAATGGATGATTTTTATTACGTTAAATTGAAAAGTTTTTGCACAAAGGCAATGCAACCAAGATTAGAAGGGAAGCAGAAAGCTGGGAAACAATTTTTACAGCCGGTGTCTCTGATAAAGATTTCATTTCTAAAATATATAGAGAACTGAGTCAAATTTATAAGAATGCAAGTCATTCCCCAATTGATAAATGGTCGAAGGATATGAATAGACAGTTTTCAGATGAAGAAAGTAAGGCTACCTAGAGTCATATGAAAAAATGCTCTAAATCACTATTGATTAGAGAAATGCAAATCACAACAACCCTGAGGTACCACATCACACCTATCAGATTAGCTAACATGACAAAACAGGAAAATGATAAATGTTGGAGAATTTGTGAGAAAATTGGAACACTAATGCATTGTTGGTGGAGTTGTGAACTGATCCAACCATTCTGGAGAGCAGTTTAGAACTATGCCAGAAGAGCCATACAACTGTGCATACCCTTTTGACCCAGCAATACCACTTCTAGGCCTGTATCCCAAAGAGACCATAAAAATGGGAAAAGGACCCACATGTACAAAAATATTTATAGCAGTTCTTTTTGTGGTAGCCAAGAAGTGAAAATTGAGGGGATGCCCATCAATTGGGGAATGGCTGAACAGGTTGTGGCATATGAATATAATGGAATACTACTGTGCTGTAAGAAATGATGAGCAAGAAGACTTCCGAAAAACCTGGAAAGACTTATATGAACTGATGCTAAGTGAAGTGAGCAAAACCAGGAGAACATTGTACATAGTAACAACATCATTATGTGATGACTAACTTTCATAGATGCAGCTCTTCTCAGCAATGAAAGGATCTAAAACAACTCCAAAAGACTCAGGATGGAAAATGCTGTCCACCTCCAGAGAAAGAACTATGGCGTCTGAATGCACATCAAAGTATACTATTTGATCTCTGTTTTCTCTTTTTTTCCTTTTGTTCTGTTTCTTCTTTCTCGTATTTCCTCCCATTGGCTCTAATACTTCTTTACAACATTACTAATGGGAAATTATGTTTAATATGAATGTATATGTAGAGCCTATAGCAGATTGTATGCCATCTCAGGAAGGGAGAAGAGGAGAGATGGAGAGAAAATTGAAAACTCAAAAGCTTATGAAAATGAATGTTGAAACCTAAAAATAAATAAATAAAGTAAAATTTTAAAAAAATGATAAAAAGATCATGATCAGGTCACATTTCTCAGAACAGAACCCAAGAATTTTAAAGATTTAAGAGAATTGAGTCCCAGTGTCTCTCCAATGTACAGATGAGGATTCCGTTACCACTACCACAGTGAGTAGGGGAAAATGTACTCATCTTCATATGAAGAAGTAACATTAGGAATGGACAGGAGATCCATGAAGTGGATGGAATAGAGCAGGAGTATTTGGGGAATGGCCAGGGTAGGATGGGAACCTGATTTCTAACAGTCTGCCTTCTTGTTCAACAAGTGCTATAGGCATTAGAGCCTTTGAGGAAGCTTCACAATCTGACACTTTGTGTTGATGATGAAATCATCAAAAATCAATGGTAGTGATAGCAAGGAGACCAGGACGGTACAGAAGTAAGGCCTAAATCTATGTTCAAGGATGACTGTCCAAAATATGAGAAATAGAACAGAAACAGAAGCAGAAACTAGAGAATGAAGCATTAAGCCAAGTTCAAAGCCAGGAGTTATCTCTGAGATCCTTCAGTCAAAGGGATTTTTAAATTTTTGTGCCAGTTTTATGATGTATATCAGTGGTATCAAACTCAAATAGAAATGGATCTCTATGGGCCACATATTGACTAGAAAACTATAAATTAGAATTATCTATCTCTTATTCTCTTTTTCTTTATTTTACTAAACACTTACCAATTACAATTTAATCTGGGTCAGGCTGCATTTAGGAGTGTTGTGGGCCACATGTGGCAAGCTGAGAAGGCTGGGAGTTTAACACCTCTGATGTACATAATTATTAGTATAGTCTAATATGTATATACTTTATAAATAAGTGAATATTCAGATATTGTTGTACTTGAAGGGAGTGCCAGAGCCAATTCATACTCTTAAGAGCTGACTATTGAATTTTCAGTGTGATCATTTATACCTTGGAATCAGCAAACTCTACGAATAAGAGTTTGATTTATTTTTTGTTGATTGTCTAGACTTAATGATGGTAAAAATGTTAATAATTCAGATTAATCTTAAAAGTGTGTATTAATTCATATGTGTATTTTTTAAAATGTACTTTATTGGATAAACTTTCCCCTGAACCACAGCCCAGAAGAGACCTCAAGACCACAATCAGCAATTCTTTTTGAAAGTAGGTGATATACAATGTAGGAGGATGGGAGTATGACAATTAAAAAATTCTGAAAGACTGAGTTTCTGGGTAAATTAAAATCAGTTTTATTGACTATATATCTAGAAAGCAGTCAACAAAAACAGGTTCATTGTCCCCTTGGTAGCCAAAGAGAGCAAACCACTTGAACCTTTGACATTTACAAAGTATTTTGAAAAAGGGGTGCACCTGAGGGTGAAAATCAACTCTGGTCAACAAGAGAACACATATTATAATGGGACTTGGGCTATATATTAAAATGAAGGTCTTGGATCACCCACATCTTGACTTAAGGAGACATCAATTTCCATATCACCTGTCTGACAAAAGGGAGAATCAACACTTCCCAGACCTGTCTGAGCAAATACAATAAGCAGGAATGCACCCATTACCCTAAAATTAGAATTTATTTTACTGTCTATGTGGATCTTGGCCTGGGCAAATCTTTAAGAGATTTCCCACACTAGTTGATTTTTGGATGAGGAAGTAGAAAAGGGGAAAAACCTTGGTCCTGATTCAATAAATAGTTATTAAATATGAGAGAAATAATTCCTCACAGGAGAGTGGGTGGTTGTCTTGTTAGGGATACCTATATACCTGTATTAGGGAGGACTGCTAAGTCATCCTCCTCAGATTGCCTTAAGCACTGAGCTCTGACTTCCAGAAATCAGAGATCTGAACCCAGAACATAAAGATTTGTGAGGTCATGTACAGACAGCTAAGACAGATGAATAACTTCCATAGGGAGTCATCTTGCATAAGAAGAGGGATTTTGTAAGGGGTTTGGTTTCCAGAAGTGAAATGGACGCAAGCTGTCTCATGAGGAACTCTAATATGATATACAGAATTTTCCAATAGCTCAGATGGGACTCTTGAGTTGAAAACCAGGAGCTTTCTCTCCTACCCATTTCTCCCTTTCATTCCATAGGTAGAGAATCTTAACCTGGGGTTCGGGACCCAAAGCTGATGCCTAGATTTCAGAGGATTCATGAACTTGGATGGCAAAAAAATAAAAAAAATATATAACTTTATTTTCATTAACTTCTAACTGAAATTTGTCATTTGCTTCAGTTATTTTAAAAACGTTATTCTGAGAAGAGGTCCATAGGCTCCACCAGATTAAGAGAGACCCATAACAAAAATTTAACTCCCCTGCCTTAGACATGGGTAGACAACTGTCCAAAGTTGGCCCTCTTCCTGCTTGCTTTGCCCCCCATCCCTCCCAACCTCTTCCCTCATTGGCTTGGTTGTTTGCTATTTGCTTATTTCTTTACTTATATCTCTCTCTTTCTTTAAGATGTACTCCAGGCATCAACTTCTGCATGAAACATTTCCTGATCCTCCCTAAATGCCAGTGCCCTTTCAAATCTTTGTTTTTATTCATTTTTATACTTATGCTATGTATTTTTATACATACATTTTTATAGATATATTTATGTGTGTGGGGTCTTTCCCATTAGAATGTAAACTCCTTTTGAGTAAGCATTGTTCTATTCTTTATGCATGGAGTCCAGAAGATCTGATTTCAAATTTGATCTCAGCCACTTCCTAACTGTGGGACTCTGGGGAAGTCACTTAACCTCTCTGTTAGCACCTAACTTCTCAGGGCTGTTGTGCACATAAAATGGGATATCATGTGTAAAGTTTTTACAATGCCTGGCACATAACAGGAGCTCAACATAGCAATATGGTTGCCTTCCCAAGCCTAGCACACTGCCCTGCATGTGGAAACCACTACAGGAATACAGAGTGCAGATGGTGGCCCACACGTGTATTTTTAAAGTCATATCACTATCAGACATTTACCAGCAAACCTCTGTGGTAAACACACAAAAAATATATGCAACAAAAAAATTTGAAGAACACTGCTTTAATGTATCTACTTCAGGAACAACCATAAAGCCCAGTTTATGTTACATTAGAAGTATGTTTCCATTGGCAAATAAGAGAATATACTAAAAAACCCCAGATCTGGAGCCCAGCTGTAGGGTTTGTGCACAGGCTGCAGGTGCCTGGGGACCACTGTGTACTTGCTGCACAGAAGTAGGTGCCTGAGTCTTCGGGCTGAGACTCTTTGATGTGCAGAAAGAAGTATTTGGCATCTTTATTCAGTTGGACTGTGAGTCTTCCCTCCTCCTGTATATTCTTGCTCACACGAATTGCTACCAAGAACGTGGGGCCTTTTCCAGGAGCTTGCCAGTACCAGGGGAAGTAGTCAAAATTACTGTCCGTGTAACTGCAGTTGATGATGGCTGTGTCTCCCTCCTGGACTCGCAAGAATTGTGGACTCTGCTTTACTTTAGTTTGGCTGGTAACCCCTGTGCAGAAAGAAAATGACAAGTTATCACTCTTCAGTATTTATATTTGCTTTGTAGAACCAATCCAGGAACACCCAGAGAAGACTGACTGAGCCCCCGGCTTTCCCTTTCAGTCTTGCAGCTCCCTAATCCCATCTCCAGTCCCCAACTTACAGCCTAGTTGGAAGTACAGCACCACTAATGAGACTCCCAGGGACTTCACCATTTTTTTTCCACCAAGGTTCAATGAGAACTTTGCTTTGGGACTTGGGATGACAACTGGATTCTTCACCCAGAGCAACTATCTCCTGTCTCTTTCTTCTGTTCCAGGAAACAAAGAGCCTCCTTCATGATTCTGTCCAGCCAATCAGAATCATGTTTGCAACCCAGCACTCCTTACCTTCTCAAGCCTTTCCTTTCACAAGTGTTGTCAGCTATAGATATTTTTGAAAATGGAAGCCCCACCCCTCTTAAATGAACCACAGAATTGCAGAAGACTTGTTCCATGAGGGTCTATCTAGAATACTATTCCTACCCTTCAATTATAGGACCACAGAATGTTAGAGACTTTAGAAATCACCCTGAACACTGTCCTTTTTGAATATTTTATGTAACTGAGGCTTACGGAAGCTAAACAACCTGAGATCATGCTCTCTTAGAGTCTTTAGTGTGTTATACTGGGAAAAAAAAAGAGCTTTTGAAGTCAGAGGATCCGGAATCAAATACTGGCTTGACTACTTACTACCTACCTATTTAGACAAATCATTGTTTTTCTCTTGGCTACAGTTTTCTCATCTGTAAAGAATTTGGACAGTGAATAGGTTGCCACAAGATTTTGCAGCAAATAAGTAGCAAAATGGGAGGAAGTGCCTGTTCAGTGAGAAAAGGAGAGAAAAAGCAGAAAAGATGGGAAAAGAATAGTAATTGTACTTCTTATATCACCTTCTTTCAGACAACAGCTGAGGGGAACTTTATTTTCATTGTGAACTGACAGAAATAAATTAATTTTCCAGGAAAGGCAGCTGAGCAAACTTCACAATAACAACACCATCACCATTCCTCCCCACCAAAGGTAGGAACATTGCTCTAAATAAGTAAACTTTTTAGTGCAACAAACAGGTATTGAAAATGAATAAACTTCCTTGGCAATTCACCACAAGAATTATCCAAGAGAGCTACTAACAAGGATGATTCAGGTTTGAGTACCTCAATTCCATCAAGTATGGAGGACAAATAAACATTTTTAATGAGCTCTGGGAAGAGTGCCACATTTCTGCTTCAGTCAGGCACAAATAATAGGTATTATACATACAAAATACAAACTGGTCACTGTCCTAGAAGAGAAAGGAAAAACAGCTGAAGAACCAATTCTCTGTTCACCATGTTACCAGAGAGAATGAAAAGTTCCTGGAAAGAATAATGAGAGATGTATCTCAAATTGAAAAAAAAGAAAGAAGAAAAGTAATTTGAAGTGCTATAGGGGAATCCTAACGCCTGCCTAGAGGTTGGGAGGGTGAAAGGATGTTATAGAAAAGGAAGGAGAGGAAAGGAAACTGAGCGTATAGTTCTATATAAGGAGGAGTGTTTAAGGGTCAAATGAGATAATAATTGTAAAGCACTTTGCAAACTTTAAAGTACTTGTTGTTGTTGTTGTTGTTAGACTATAACAACCAGGCTCCTGGCCTGGGGATGAATTCATTCACTGAGCCTTCTATTGCATTCTTGATGAGCTCAACATCTATAGAACAATGCAAGAGTGTGCTGGTAAACGCTTAATGACTAGGCTCTCCTGGGGGAAAAATGCATGTATACACACTTTTAAGTTTAATCAGCAATATTAAAACTTTCATAAGTCTAGACAGTCACCCAAACAATAAATTAAGCCCTGATTTGTAGTGATTTCTGAGGTGAAAGTGCTCATACCGATAATTTAACAAGCAACTCTCAAAGGCCAGTTAGAACTAACTCCAGTACACCCTTGTATATAATAGGTATGAGTTCCTATAGAAACTACAGTCAGACCTTCTGAAGAGGAAGCAAGATTTTTGTTTCACTGTTTGTTTTTATGCCCCAAGAAATAATTATGTGGATCCACAGATGCCTCCAACAGAGGTCAAACAATTTTGCTCATAGAATCAGAACAAACAATTATGGTTGATCATTAAATTGATCAATCAACAAATACTTATTAAGACTGCTACTTGTTGACTTGATGTGAACAAAAAGGAAGGTTAAAATACAAGCTGTCTTCCCTATAGCTTGTATCTGAGATATGACAGAGGATCACCAAACTTCTCAAACCTGAAGACTACCACCTGTTCTTGATGACTAGTATAAGAATGAAAAATCTAGAAAATCTCTGTTTGAGATTTGGGAATACTGCTACCTAAAGGTCAGCCTAAACCTTAGCACAATTTTAAAGGCACTATCATATATAACTATATTCAGGTCTTTTTCTCTTGGTACCTTCTAGGGACAAATGGTTAATATTGGTGTCTTCCTGACTAATTAGGTCTCTTCATGATATTTTTAATATGACTCCAAAATTCAATTGAATTTAATAAATATTTATTAAGCATCTGTTGTACAAACCACTGTTCTAGGCCAGGGAAGTTACAAAGTTCAGATAAGAGATCTCAGATCTATTTCATGGAGCTTAAATTTGAGAAAGGAGCCAAGACACATGCACAAAAAACTTTAACACACAATAACACACTGTAAATTAATTTGAACAATGCAAGAAATAGAATGCTATATGTGGTCCAAGGCTGAATGTCGTTACTGACAGAGGAGACCAATAAATGTTAATGTAGTGGTGTTGAAGTTGTGTTTTTAATGATGAGTATGAATTCAATAGTAAGAAAAGGTGGACCATGCAGACTCCAAGAATAGCATGAGAAAATGAACAGAGATGAGAAACCACAGAGAGCAAATCAAGATAAAAAAAGGAGTCCAATTTAGCTGGAGTTTGGAGTACATAAAGAAGAATACGGAGCAGAATGAGACAAGGTTGGAAAGGCATGATTTGACCTTAAGTGCCAGTCAAAAGGAATTTTGACTTTATTCCATAGGCCACATGAAGCCACTGAAATCTTTTGAGTCAAGAAGTAACATAACCAGTTTGTGGATAAGGAAGATTAGCTTGTTAGCACCATTTATTGGAAAAGGGAGAATATGGTTATGATAAGAATTATGTAATCCTATTGGGAAAGTTAGGGCAAAAGGATCATAGAAACTTGAGTAAGCTAGATGTGTGTACGCACATTTCTTTTGCCCTTGGAAAAAATTCTACCTAAAGATTTAGAAGACTCAGAGACCCCAGGACTCCACGTTTTTCCTGTTGTATGGCAGGAAGTGAGAGAGGGATCCTCTGTCCCAGTGACTGAGATGTGATAGATGATTAATTGAACCCCTATTTTATTGGGCCCTTATTTTATTTCAATCAGTATTTCTTTTTTTTTTTAGCTGACTCAATTACTTTCTTCTTGCTCCCCTCAGATTGGCTAGGAGGTAGGTGAAAGGAGGATGGAAAATTAACCATAAATACAACTACAACTACATTGCAGTCTGATATTCAAAACTTCATTTAATTATTGCTTTAAATTCCCATGGTACTTGATTATTGATTAATAAATCACATCTATTAATAGTAAATCGTCAAATCTTATGATGTGGAAGGGAAGTATGATTGAAGAGGTAAAATCAATCCATGGGATGGAGACTTTATGACTCAAAGAGATATTTTGCATTTTTTGTCATTTGTGGTGTGTTCCAGATCTTGCTACTAGACTTACATTGAACCTGGGACCAATTTAGTCACTGTCCAGCAGAGAAACCAGAGAAACCAAAAGTAGTGAGGAGTAGAGGAACTAGGTGACTCAGGTGACCGGATTGCCATCTCATGGCCAAGCAATGATACTACACCACCCCTACCCTCAATCACCATAGATGGTTAGATATTGTCATTCTACATGATATTCTACTACTCTTTGAACAAGTAGGGAAATGAGCCAGAAATAGTTGACTGCATTTATTACCATGTGCCCTTTTTAGTATTCACTACATTAGCATTTAGTATTGACCATCAGTATCTCTGTCACACCTTTGAGAAGACTATTGTACAAGAGGCCAAGCAGGTGATAATTCATACCTCTACAAGGATGGTGATGGGAATTAATAACAAATATTTATTGAGCACCTACTATATGCCAGGCACTGTTCTAGGTTCTAGGGATACAAAGACAAAAATGAAACAGTCTTTTACATCAAAAGACATATTCTACAAAGGGGAAAACAAACAAATGTACAACATTTATAGTGAAGAGAAGGGTATGAAAGCATGAATGGATAGGATATCAACTATCTATGAGAAGAGAAATAGAGAAGAGTCAAAATTAGCATCAAGGTTTCACAATGCAAGATTGGTGGAATGATGCTGTCATTGACAAAAATAGAGAATTCAGAGGAAGCAAGTTTATAAAGAAATATAATAAACAGAGTTTTTGACATCTTAAGTCAGAGGTATTAGAAGGACAATAAATTAGAATAATTTTGTAAGTTTCTGGGTCTAGAGTTCAGAAGAGGTCAGTGATACAGATATAAAATTGATAGTTATTCAGATACTCCCCCATCTCATAAGATTTGACAATTCACTGTCAATATACATGATTTATTAACCCACAATAAAGTAGCATAGGGGTTAAAGCAACAATAAAACAAAGCTCTTAGTTGAAGTGATGAGAATGAATAAAAATGATGAAGGGGTGAGCATAAACCAAAATTAAAAGAAGGCTAAGAACAGATCCTTAGGAGACACAAAGTTCAAAACGCAAATTAGGCAATAAAAAAAGACAGATAAAATGTGGTTAGAGAGGTCGTGGTAGGAGAAGTATGTGATATTTCTGATGTTAGGGAAGTAGATAATATTCACTAGAAAGGGGGTAGTTAGTAACATCAAACAGTGCAGGAAGATGGATGATGACACCTGAATGAAGGCCATCCTTTGGATATAATGATTGGGAGGACTTTGACAACATTTGAATGAACAGCTTCAGTACAAATTTAGGAATGGAAGAAGCCAGGGTGCAGTGTGTGGAGAGAGTGAATTGTAGAGAATTTGAGGCCCTGGTTATAGACAACTAATGAGTCTATACCTATATGTTAAATGACTGGTGTTACAGAAATGAAGAATAGGCTATTTTATGGAAACATAGCACCAGAAAGGTAGTATGACATAGTGGATACAGAGTTTGTCTCAAAATTAGAAAAACCTGAGATCAGGGACCATCCCTAACATACTGGCTGTGACCTTAAGCAAGTCTCTAACTTCTCAGAGTTCCGGACCATGTCAAACACGTGCCCCACAACACTCCCCAGGGAAGCCCAGAACCAACTTAAAATGTAATTGGGCAATCTCTAACAAAATTAATAA